GAGAGGATGAATGTATACATGACTTTGAGTGTAGAATTCCATTGGTCTCATTTCTCTGTCCTTTTTCTTAAAGCCCCTGCGGTAGTCTGTATAGGTTTTATACTTGCTTGTTTATTTTTTGGTTAAAATAACATTCATCAAATTTGTGAATTCATTCATTTTAATTCTATAAGTTGTGGAATTACATAATTGTCCTCATATATTTAGCAGTTGCTTTGAATCCAATCAAGCCTATCTTATTAACATAAATTTTGTTAAATTTTACATTTCTGAAAATTCCCAAGCCACAAGTAAATGACTAGTAGGGATAGTTGGCAATACACAGCCATGGATTTCTTTCACATAGCAATTTAAATAGATGGCAGTTGCACATGCAGTTGAACTTTAGAATGGGATTAAATGAAGAAACATCCATGAAGTTTGCTTTGAGATTGTTAGATAAGCAAAACTTAGTTTTCTGCACTATAACTGCTTTAATATGTGATAAACACTGTGAATCAAAAGTCCAAGCTTATCAATAAACAGTATGAAGTCTTGTTTAAGAAATAGAAAGATTGAAACCACACAAGAAATATTGACAATCGGACATTTCACATAGGTTTTTAAGTTATACAATGATATGTGCTGTTTCCAAATACTTAAGCTTCATAAAGAATTGAGATATTCCCCTTTCTTAATTACAAAGAAGTCAAAACTTTACAGAAAAAAAAAGAAAACTTTGGTTTAAATTCTCATGAACTATGCCCATTTTCTCTTTTATACCCACCCTTGTTTCACATCTAATGTTGACTTATATTCAGGGATAGTAAACAGATACATAAATATAGATTTTCACCTCTGATCCAAACATTTTATTTGTTGAGTAATTGTCAGTACTTTTGAGACCTAGTTTGGAGTTTCAAAAGAAATCATTATGGCAGCATCTACTTTCATACATCACAGAACAGTTGTCATAATGAATTTTGTTATTATATGAGATACATGTTTTTAAAGATATAAAGACCTATTAAAATTAACTCATAATACAACTTTTTTTTCTTACTAAACATCCTTTGTGCTATGTTTCCTTTTTCTTTCATTCATCAGAGCTTATTCCTTTCAAAATACTTTAGTGTTAAGTCTCTCATGCACAAGTTCATTCCTGTTTAGCCATGTCATAGTAAGCCATGTTTTAACACTTAGACCCCTTTATTCCCTGAACCTGGTCCTTACTGTGTGTTTTCACTCCCTTTAACCTGTTCTCTCTCATTGGTGAAATCTTGAAACACATTTCCTCAAACCCCTTTCTTGTCCAGTCCACATTCAGTTGATCACCATACTTGGATGATGGTGCCACTTAAATATCTTTGGAACATGCATCCTTTCCTTACCATAGTATTCTGCCTCAGTTATATCTGAACCTCTTGCCTTGAGTACCACATTAATCACCTCGAGTTCTCCATGTTTGTCATGCTGACAAGGAAACACTTTCTGAATAGAAATGTCATCACATCATTCAGTGGAGAGAAACATTTCTTGTTTCCAGGATGATTTCCATGGCATTTCCCACAAAGAGCTCTATAATCTAGATGCACCCTATGCATCCAAGCACCTTGAAAGTCCTCATGCCAGTTTTTTGTCTCAGTGCAGGTAATTGTGGTGTTTCACCCTCTAGCCCCACATAGTCACGTTTGTTCTGATAAACTCCATTTCCTTCTTCCCTCTCTCTCTCCTTCCTTCCTTCCTTCCTTCCTTCCTTTCTTCCTTCCTTCCTTCTCTTTAGAGACAAGGTCTCACTGCGTAGCTGTGGCTGGCCTGGAATTCATTATGTAGAGCATCCTGGCTTTTAACTCAGAGATCTGCCTCCTGAGTGCTGGGACTAAAGGCGTGTGCTACCATGCCAAGCTTAGTGACTTAATTTCAGCTATTTTCTAAGACTAAGTTGAAGCATGACCTATTCTACAGTCTCTTACCTCTCCACTGCCATCATCTCCACTGCTCATATAAAATAAGAGTGGGAAAATATTATTTGAAGAAAGGGGTTCAGAAATGCAATATAAAGTTATTATTAGAATGGGACAAAAAAGGAAACATGACAAACTAAAATTCTATTTTTTTTTGTCTTAGAATCACAAGATTTTTATGACTGAAAGAGTCGTTATAGTCAATCCAGACCAAAGTTTTCTGTGGTTTCCACATAAAAAGTAAAAAGCTCTTGTGTTAAGATGAAGTTTGGGAAATTTGTATCTAGTTGTGTAATGCTGACTATAATTTGAGTGATCCTTATACAGCATTCAAGAAAGCCATCACTACAGTATTCAGCCATAAAAACAGGATCCTAGAATCTTAACTGCACAGATTCAACTTCTCTGTTTTCCCGCAGCCAGCATTTAAACTTTCTCAAAGAATTTCTTTTCTGTCTAATATTCAAAATTCACTGCCCATATTAGGCATTCTCTGATAAAAACAAAACAAAACAAAAAAATCTTCGCTACGAGGTGGGATAACTGAATATTTCTTGCTTACAAAAAAAAAAAAAAAAGAAGAACTTTGTCTATAAAGACAAAAATAAAGAAAATGCAAACAAGTTCTTCTGAGGTATCTTATAATATCACAATAAATTACTACCAACCATAGGCCCATTCAGAGCTGTCTTCTGAGAAGTTTCTAAACATCCAAGCCCAACTCTTTAAATGAAATTCATCTGAAGGGATGCTAGTGTTTGAGTCTAGTGTTGAATGAATGTGTAAATCACATTCATATTAATAACTGATCTTTTAAAAGTTGTTTCATAATTCATAAACATTTCAGATGCATAAAAGTTCATAATTGCACATTTTCTTTAAGTAGCCACATTTCAGAAGGAAGGGCATACTGACATGGACCAATCTGATCCATTGTCATGAAACCCAGAGATACTTACTCTCCAGAACTTAAAACAGTATTTTTCAAGTACAATCTGCTTTTCCACAAACAATTTTTGTGAAAAGGTTTCATAGGGTTTTTTTTAAACATACAACCCTAGTTTTTGGAATAGATTCTGATTGATTCTGAACATGTAGGGCTTTCCTGTACCTTTCCTTTGTAGGGTATATCCCTGCTTAAACTAGGTTCACTTTTCTTTTTTTCTAAGTCCCTAATGCTGAGTTCCTGGCATGAAAAATGACCCTGTTACTTGAAAAGGCGTTCTCCCTTACAAGTCCCCCAGGTCTCATAATGGTAAAACCTCCTATGCTACTTTATAGGACTGCCCCACCCCACAGAAAAGCATGAACAGGAAAAACAGCACTCCCTTCCCCCACATGCTTCCTCAGTTTATTTACGAAAAGTCTTGGAATGAGAATGAGCTGCTTGTGGTTCCTGTGGCTGATTCAGGGATGGTTTCCTGCAGGCAGAGGAGGCTGGCCAACCGAATGACCTCTTTGAGCTAACCCATGTATCCTAATGGGAAGGGTCTTCGGTTTTATGGGTACCCTTTCTAACTATGCGTGAAGGGCTATATTTTACAATGAAGAGCTTAATCAAACATCACAGTGAAGACAGACTAACAATGGAAGGGTCCATCAGAGCTCACACCTTCCCCCATGATGGTTCAAAACTGAAGTGTCCCTTACAGGCTCATGTTTTGAAATCCTGTTCCCCAGCTGGTAAGTGATAGTATGTTGGGAGACTTGTTGAGGCCTAGCTGGATTAGATAGACTATTAAGGGTGGAACTTTGAAATGTATTGCCCCAAACCCTGGTTTTCCTCTCACTCTCTGCTGCCTGGGATGACACTTTAAGACTGGAGGGCTTTGTTTTTACAATAGAGAGCTTAATAACTCAATGTCACTGTGTGGACATTAACAATGACCAAGTCTATCAGTGGTTTACTTTGCTCTAACAATAAAAGAAGTCAGAAATATGCTCAGATACAGATAGACTACTGTATGCTAACCTTTGGTTCTCAAAGGAGCATGGTTTTCTCTGTGACATCCCTCAAAGACAAAAAAAGATTTGTAAGTGTCATTGAGAAGAAGATATTGGGAAGCTAGATAATACTAAATGCCCACTACATGAACCACAGCCCTTATTTAGTTACTCCTGTCAGATACTGAATAATTAATAATTATAAGAAAGTGAAATGGGGAAGAACTGAAGTAAAAATGATTTCTCAAATGTTTAATTTTTTGTCCAGACTTGCTGATGAACACTCTTACCTCATACATTTATGACTCTGAGAAACCTGGGAATATGTGATAGAGATTTTTTGAATAGACTAATCCATCCTCAACAAATATGCCTTTTACTTGGATAAGTAGATTTAAATGATGGCACAAAAATTATAAAACTTGTCTCCCAAAAGACAAAATAGTAAGCAAGTTATGATAAGCATTCATATTTGATTCATATAGAAGTACTGATAAGATTTAAATGTGACATTTTCAGTATTAAATCAATTTGAACTGGTAATTACTAAGCCCATATAAGGAAAACTATTTCAGGAAAGAATTAGGAGGTGATAAGTACCAAACTTAGTTTCCAAATCAATTTGCATTGTATTGAAGAGTAGAACTGTAGTAGGTCAAAGCTGAAAAGAGACATCCCAGACCTTAACGTCCTTCCTCAGTCTCCTCACTCAAGCCCTTCCTAGTGCATCTTGTTACACTTGCTGATGTTTATCACCTATGACATACACACGATCAGGTTCATTTTGCCAATTTCAGTGAATAAAAAAGCAGAAAAATGTCAATCTCCAATCTTCCCGATTGCTTATTCAGTAAGTATATTTTACCGAAATATTTGATAAATCATTTCAGTCAAATATATTCTGATTTTTCAAATGCACAAATATATAGACTCTGAAATTAAAAGTAACACATGTAGTAAAGGGAAATTCTTTATCGAAAAAAGGTAGAAAAAAAAAACTCACCTGTTATCACAAAATTGAAAGTAAATAAATCAATGTATACACTGACAAAAATGTCATTTTATTTTATGTCTATGGTTTAACCTTTCTGTCTTTCTGCATTGTCTTCCCAGTGCATCCTAACGTCAGCCAAGGCTGCCAAGGAGGCTGCGCAACATGTTCAGATTACAATGGCTGTTTGTCATGTAAGCCCAGACTATTTTTTGTTCTGGAAAGAATTGGTATGAAGCAGATAGGAGTGTGTCTCTCTTCATGTCCAAGTGGATATTATGGAACTCGATATCCAGATATAAATAAGTGTACAAGTAAGTGTCTACACCACATCATATTTTTATCTCCTCCTTGGGGACTTCTCCAGATTGAAAGGGCTTCTAAGACATCTGTAATGTTCAACAATAAGTAAACAATATTGTTTACCTGATGTTTAGGCTAATACACACATAGACAGTCCTCAGGGGAGGGCAATTTTCATCACTAACTTACAAAAACATCCACTAAAGTTTTGTTTCACTTTGTTTTGCTTGTTTATTTGTTTGATTGTAAAACTGAGGCTAGGAACATCACTAGTATTAGTTGAACCTTTAACAAACACTACAGGAATCAGAAACAATTGAGTTCTTCTTGCTATTATAAAATGCAAATATTCAATAACTGGAAGAATTATTTTAGTATTTTGGCTTCCAGGTTTCCAGTATAGCAACTAAAATATATATTTTATTGGTTGAAAATAAAGTTTGAAATTACTCTCATCCGGACCCCAAAAGTCTATTCTCAACAATGAAGATGAAGTGACCTTTCAAAACTGCATCAGGAATTGTTACTCCTCTACCCAAGCATCACATATTGCTGTACCTATCTAGCCAAACTACCACTTATGCCTCCCTTCTGACTTCTGCACCAGCCTCTTTGTAAGACCTTCCCGTCTCAAGATCTGCATTTGTTGATTCAGTTCTTAACTGGCCCTTCTGCAGTTTGGAAACTCTTTGACAACACATGAATGCATGCTCCCTCATTCCATTCATTCAAGATTTTGATTCTGTTAAGCTGAGTGAGGTGTTCCATGACCATCTTATCCAAAATAATCTGTCTCTTTCATTTTTCAGTCACTCACCAACTTTTATCTGTTGCTGTTGTGACTGGTGGTGTTTTCCAGAACACTTACCACTCTAGATCCAAATTTATTTAATCTTCTTCAGTGGTTCTTAGCTAGCCTTATTATTTTTTTTAATTTTTTTTTTTTGTTTTTAGTTTTTGGCAGAGGGGAGCCTTTTTGAGACAGGTTCTTTCTGAAATTTCAGCTGGCTGGAAATGTAGTCCAGGCTGGCCTCAATCTCTGCCTGCCACTGCCTTCTGAGTGCCAGGGATTGAAGGCATGTTTCACCACTTTTTTTTTTTTTTTTTTTTTTTTTTTTTTTTTTGGTCTTTTTGAGACAGGATCTTTCGGTAGCCACAGGTAGCCTGGAACTCACTATGTAGATCAGGCTGGCCTCAATCTCACAGATTCCCACCTCTGCCTCCCAAATGCTGGGACTGACAGAATCCCGACATTTGACTAGCTTTTTTGAGCTGCAGTTATCTTAGCTATAAGTGAATGTTATTATAGTGATTACTATATTCTTTTGTGGTAAAGTTTAAATAACAGCATTATAAAATACTTATAATAACCATGGCTTATAATAATTACCACATAAGCGTCAATTACTGATATTATTTACAATGTTTCCTTCCAGAAGAAAGCTTTGTACATTCTGGATGCCTCCTCCCATTAACTTCTATCAAACAATATCTATAATAATTCTTGACATATAGTGAACAGTCAAATACCCGTTGAATGAATAAGTAATCCTCAAGAACATTATAAATGCAATATCTCAGTATATTTTATTAAAGCTCTAATGAAACATTTTACTATCATTTAATACAAGTAGATACTTGGGTTTATAATCTTAGTCATATATACAATTTGAATATCTCATATGAAATGCCTGGAATGATATTTTGGAGGTTTCTGGATTTGGGAATTTTTGCATAAACTTTACTGGTTGATCATCCCTATTCTGAACATCTAAAAACCTGTAACATTTGGGCATAATGCCAGTGATCAAAACATGTAAAATTTCAAAGAAGCCTGGATTTTAGATGCTTGAAATAGGGATGCCAAGATTATATTACCAAAATAATTTCAATCATTACAATGGCTTTGAAAACAGCAACTGATACACATTAACCAAATTACTTGGAGGAGTCCTCAATTCAGTTTAGCAAAATAACTTTGAACCCCAAGTGTTTTCATGATGCAAAAGTTGCATATGTGTGGGAAAATGATACAACAAATGTTTAAAGAAGATAACAAAGTCACATATTTATTTTTCCCTTTCAGAATGCAAAGCTGACTGTGACACTTGTTTCAACAAAAATTTCTGCACAAAATGTAAAAGTGGATTTTACTTACACCTTGGAAAGTGCCTTGACAGTTGCCCAGAAGGGTTGGAAGCCAACAACCATACCATGGAGTGCGTCAGTATTGGTGAGAAAGACCTTTAAGATTTAGAATGGATGAGAAACACTTGAGATGATGGTCACAGTCTCCATGAAGTTCCTTCTCAAAGCCCAACTGCTCAGATCCTGAGTGGCTATCGCTAAGGGGCCTTGTCCTTTCTTTATGAAGATACTGTCCTAAAATGTCTTCCCATAGCCTTAGCATGAATCAGCGTGTAATTTAAGAGCAGTGAGTGCTGTTATTTCTTAAAGACTATTGATAATTGTTTCAAACTATTATAATCATCCTAGATTTCTTTTGTTTGAGAGAAAGAGAGTTAACTAATATTTACCTTAGAATAAGAGTATCATAAAACCCCTTTAATACCAACCAATAACCAGAGTTATTTTCCAAAGGAGGAAGTTTTCCCTTAATGTAGCCCATTCATGCTGCAATGGCCTTCAGGTATTCAGAATAAAGAAAGAGAATTTTGGAATCACTCAAACAGACAGTCCCAAGGTTTGATTAATTGCAGGTCAAGTTTTCCAGAAGGGAGGTCCCTCACACAAGTTGTCTGTCTAAATAACAGATCACTGTCAGGCTATATTTTCTCTCTTTTAAAAGTTGTACAGCTACTACAGCTATGAGTCTGATGCACACTTGCAGAACAGATGCTAACTGAATGGGAAAACAGCCTAGGAAAGCTCAAAGTCCCCTGGGCAATGTCTGCAGGAACCTTTGATGCTGCCATGATGCTGGAATGTGTACACAGAGCCTCCTGATTCAGTACAAGATAGTCTCCAGCACTGCCCTGGGCTCCTATAATATGGCTCTTTTAGAATCTGAAGTGTTGGAGAAATAATTATAAGTCGGTGGTTTAACCATTTCAGGTCTACCTCAAACTTTTATTTCTGTAAAACATTTTTTTTGGTAGAATTAAAAAAAAGGAAATGATCTTTCAAAGTTAACCTCAGAAGCTTTGGGAAACAACAATTCTAAAGCAATGTGTGACTTTTTTTGTTAAGTCTGTTCTCCAGTTGATAAAACCACAAAAAGCAACTTGGGAAAAAGGTACAAGACAAGACTCTTCCAGTTCCTCTCCTTCTAAGCCCCGAGGCTGATTGGTAGAGGTAATAAGTTCCAAACAGTGTAAAAAAATGGGAAACACTGTGTTTCAAATATTCAAGGACAGTCAAGATGAATTACTAAAAGTTTGTAATATTTAGTTTTTGAAGAAGTTTCAGCATTCAGTTGCAGAAAGCTATATGTAATAAATGTACTAATGTTTTCTAATCAGGAAGAGGGTTGAACATTTGGCACAATAGGATTAGCCATCAAAGCTAACTGGTTTTGTATCAACAGTGAGACTAAGACTATTTCTTAAGCCGAATTTTAGATGTTTGGATATTTAAAAATGGACACTAGCAGTCAAATGCCTATTTATTTAATCTAGTTCATTTGGCAGGTCTAAGTGACCTAGGACACAGTCTTATTGCAAATCAGCACCTTTTGCTCAGCTGCTCTTATAGCTTGCTCCCTAAGGGAAGTCTATCATTTGGTATTGGGCCCACAGGCACTACATGTGCAGGCTAGCCCCAGAATATCAAGGAAAATGATGATGTGCTTCTCTACACAAAGGATTATCACAGATGATTCCTGTAATAAATATGGAAAAATAGGCTCCAGAGAGCTGAAATGAGAGCTCCAAGGCACGTTTGTCAGTGCCATAATTAGTACCTTACTGTTAGCTCCCCGCTGGGCTGGTTACTCAACAGAATATCTTTCTCCTTGCTAAGAGCCATACCTTATCTCTTGTTTCCTACTTAGATGCTAAATTAATGGAAAGGTTCTAAACAGAGAAAATAATGTCCCTGTGTAGAGGTGGCATGAAAGATTTATGTCACACTGTGTCTAATTCCCATGGTTTGCAAATAAAATTAAACATAGGCTTCCACTGTGCCCAACTTTATAAGGGGGTGTATTCTCTCCACCCTGGGCTCCAGATATTTGCTTCCTTTCTTCACTGTCATTCTGTTCTCCTCATTCTTCCTCTTAGAGAAGTAATAGACTTGCTCAAATAGTCACAGAGGGGAATGTCCCAATTCTAAACACTGAGTAGCAAAGCACATGCCCCCAGCTATGTTCTTAATGGAGCCAGGCAGCTAGTGAACAAGAGCTAGAATAGCACAACAATGCTGGGGTACGGCCACTGTTGGTAAAGCATGTAGTTCTGTCTTCCTCCTAAGTATGGAATCCCTTTTTCTATATCTCAGATTAACAATCAACCATAGTCTAACCACTCCTACAGTCAGGGAGCTCATTGCTTTTTTGAGATACTTACTTTATTAGTGAATAGATAAAAGTTTCCTGTGATAAGATTATTCTGAATTATCTTTTAAATAAGTTAAGTCCCAAGTCTATACTGTTCATTTAATCTGAATAGAATTTAAATCACTCTTTTAGTTGCCTTTATCATTTTTTCTTAACTTTCCATTTTTTTCTGGAGCTATTCTTTAGAAGCTACCATTATAGATTTATTTTAAAGTATTTCTGTAGAAAAATTCTCTTTCCTTAATGAAATTTAAGCTATCTGATCTTATTAAATATTTTTGCTATCTAATCTCATTAGCTATATTTCCTCTTCCAATGGAATTATCAAAGATTGACATCAGAATTTCACTTTTAGAACTATTTATCTTCTATTGATAAGCCAGTAATTACCTATGTTGTAATTTTTAAATCCAATTTTCTGAAGTCAAACCATATATTTTCCTTTATCACACTTGTCATAAAAAACTAACAGCATTCTGGTTTCCACATTAAATAATATTTTTCTGCTATAGTCTTTTAATTCTGGTGTTAAATGAATATACAAAACCAAGCTTACAAACTGATGCTTCCTTTTCTGTTTGCCTTCTTGGAGATTTTTTTATTAATATACACTAAGACTTTACTATTATTTTATGGTTAATTTAGAGAAGGGATGCTGAGATATAATGTTCATAACTGGCAAAAATTATAATATTAAATAGCGCAGTTGCCCCATTCTTCAACCAGAATCATAATGGTGTAGCTCAATGTGAAGATTATAGTGAAGGTGGCTCAATAAAGCTCATGTAAGTAGACAGAAACAAAATCACTTTTATGTAGCTCTGTGTTGGATTCAGTGAATGAAAAGGCACATAAAAAATGCAGGACACATGAGCAGATTTCTAAAACATTTAAGTTATTGTTCTTAAGCTTGTTGTTAGAGATAGCATTCTGCTGTAAAATAATGATACACTAAGTCAGATGACAGTGGAAGAAGTTACTGTAAAACTTGTTTATGTGAAAAGAGAGGTTTGTATTGCCTACCAAGGTTACAGCTACAATGGGAAGTTCTTTCAGTTGTTATAAACTAGGAGGTTTTATGATCCCTAAGACTAGGAATAGCATTTTTCATCCAAGCATGATAGCACACACCTTCAATTCCAGTAATCAGGAGGCAGAGGCAGGAGGATTGTGAGTTTGAAGCCCTAGGTTACTTAATGAGACCCCATATTACAGGGATGGGATTCACTGAGCCCAGTGGATGGACCCACACTAAAGGACATTTAAGGACATAAATCAAAGGCTGTATAAATCTGTAATACATACACATATACACATATGTATATGTAAATGAGAGTACATTAAATTGGGCAGTGGTCAGTGTGGGGAGATGCAGATAAGAGAAAGGATCTAAATACCACCAAATTATAGTGTATAAAAATCGAAAAATTTCAACAAAAATATTTTATTGCCAAAAATGCAAGCAAACAAAAATAACATTTTTCAGGCATTTCTTTTCATTAGAAGTACCAAAATCTGCTACAAAAACATGGGGAAACTATTATTGAAAAGAAGAGCCAACTACATAGAGAAAAAGGAAACAATTGTCCAATAAGCTTCACAAGGACATGTCTCTGCCCCTTATGAATCACACAGGGAAGTTCATTCCAGAAGCAATTACCAGCTAAACCTGACCAAAAGTTCACTTAAGTCACAGATGCTGCTATACCTGAACCATACCGAATAATAAATAATATTTAACTTTATAAGGCCCTTCAGATAATTCTAGTATGTGCTGAATTTTGATTTACTAACCAATAACAACAATCTTTCAAGTTCTGATCAAGATCAACCAAAAACTACATAAGTGATCTGGAAATTATAAACCTTGGTTAACTGTGAGTAGTTCTTAGTTCCTGGGTTAATCAGATCTATTGCAGAAGGTAAGTCCAGTGCAAGAAGGAGCTGACTCAACAATATGAGCACTAAAGACTCGAAGCACCCATCTGCCCCTTCAAATTCTGGTGTATATTTATGTCATCTTTCCCTTCACAAGCAGGATTTCTCCTTAGAATCTAGGCGTGCTGATGGACATACACTGTGGGTTTTGTTTGTTTGTTTGTTTGTTTTATTGACTACCAATCATGACAGTCGTTGTGAGCCACCTGAGACGGTTTCTGTTGTTGGGTTTCAGTGCACTGCGAGGCTAGTGAGTGGAGTCCTTGGAGTCCATGCACGAAGAAAGGAAAAACATGTGGCTTCAAAAGGGGGACTGAAACACGGGTCCGAGAAATACTACAACATCCTTCAGCCAAGGGTAACCTGTGTCCCCCAACTAGCGAAACAAGAAAGTGTACAGTGCAAAGGAAGAAGTGTTCAAAGGGAGAACGAGGTACGATCATACCAGTGAAGTGTGCTTCTTGGAATCCTCATAATTTGGTGCATAGTTTACTTTCTATCCTATGAATATTTGGCAATATCTCTCATGTCTGAAGCTCTAAAATAGAATATTATGGCTCTAAGTTACAGCATACAGATATAAGTTCTAAATACGGAATCTGATATAAGAACTTGATACCATGTGATAAATATGTCTCAGTACAAGAGGCTATGTATATTTGAGCATTTGAGCTGATGCCTAGAAAATTTATGGGAAGTCTCAGAAATGCAAAGCAGTATCATTTGGCGTATGACCACAACAAAGAGATACCGCCATCAACTTACTCCTTTCTTGATTGCTGATAAGTTAAGATAGTGCAATTAGTTAACTTCGCATTTGAATTAGATGACCAAACTCATATTTTATAATGTAACCACTGTCCCCAAACTGTTGTTCTTTTAAAATAGTTCACTGACTGTATATACTATATTGCAGAACCTATAAGGTCAATATTATCTGGGTCAGGACCTCTTCTGAAATCTTATAAGTACCAAGGATAAATCTACCATTTAATATAATGCTTGAAGGTGAATAAACTTCCATTTAAAGATAAAATGTAATTTTCCCATCTTTGTCACTCATGCCCTCAGCACCGCTGCCTAAAAATGTGTTATGTACCTTTGAATAATTATCAATAGTCTTCTGATGGGCCTATAAATAGCCCTCTCAATTAGTTAATTGCCTCTTGAAAGGAGTGGATTTCAAGGAGCTCCTCTCTGGAGCTGAACTTTCTTATCTCATTTCTTCATTCCTTCATTTATTCATTCAACATAGTTTCATTACATTCTCACTTTTGTGGCCACACACCATGCTAATTCCTAAAGATTCACTATCGAGTCCCCGCCTAAGGTTACTCTGAAGATATGCCCAGAATTCACTGGAAAAGTGAGATATTTAAACAGACAATCACAATATTATCGTAAGCAAGTTCATAGATACGTGAACTAAATTCCATGGGCACACAGAGGGGGGCACTGTAAGCAGGAACACTGCTCATACAAAAAGGAACATTTGGGTCACCTGTGTTTTGCAAAGTCATTTTATTATGTTAAGAAAAGTGACTAGCATCAGAATGTATGAAGTATTTCATTGCTGTTTTAATTCAGCACTTAATGTGATAAAATTTTTGAAAACATGGGTTATGTTAAAGAGACTCCAAACTTCTGTAAATTTGAAAGAGGTTTTAATTAAAATTTGGTTTCAAGAATGAAAATTGGCTTGTGAAGAAGGTCTTTTTGGCATTTGTTACCAATTAATTTAAAACATCTTAGATTTTAAAAGTTGGATTTGAAAGTCAAGTGTTTCATCACTCTGTTTGTTGGTATGCACCCATAGCCATATGTTTACTTATGTTTACTCAATGGGCTCAAAATTTAATGAGTTACAGGTGGCCTTTTCTCACATTCTTTCTATAAAGAGTCTACAATATTAATCAGTATTTTGGTATACTTTCCTTTAAAAATATAAGTGCAGTAAAGCTTAGCTAGCAGAAATATCAAATTATATTAATTATATTTCCCTCTTTCATTTTAGAATATGTTCTAATATATTTTCCTTGCACTCATTGTAAACATTAATGTTGAAACTCTCAGTTCTTAAAACTAGCAACTGAAAGATGAATAATGCTATACGATGTTTGAAATAGTAACCTGTGACATGAAATTTAGCTTGTTTTCTTTCTGATCTTTTCTTCTCTGCTCTGAAAATATGAAACACCTTATATTTACAAAAAGCAAGTTCTAGGCCAGCTGGGATTTCAGGGAGACTCTGTCTCAAAAAAAAAAAAAAACACAAAAAATGTGTTTAATTTTTAATTTGATAATGCATAAATTTGAATAAGAATTGTATAAATTGGTAATGAATCTTTTAATTAAACCTCAAATGTCATTTCACTTTTACTTACTCTTCATTCATCTTTCAGCATGTTTAATTTATTTTCAAGTAGTCTGGAAATTTAAAAAGGAATAAAACCACGGCTCATTTCATTTCTTCTTTAACAGTTTTCTTAGCTTCTTGTAACGTCTTGTTATCAAATATCTTAAGTGAACTCAAAGAAATCAAATAGACAAGTAGCTATTGCCTTTGTGACATGACTATATCAACCATATCAAACGTCACATGAGAAAATTACCCAAGTCTTCACTTGGGCTTAGATACATATTTATGTAGTATGTGTATTACACTGTAAAGTATTTTAAAATTCAAACAGTAGAAAGCACAAACACACTTAGAAAGGAAGAGTAGAAGCAGGCTAAATAAGCTGGAAGACATACGAACTAATATTTCTTTATTTTAATAAACATTAGAAACCTTCAAACTGTTTAAAAGATAAGTTCAGTAAAATGATAAAGATATGGTTTATCCTACCACTGGCATATCTACTACTTGAATTACTCTGAAATGCTTATAGTTACATAAAAAAGAAAAAGTTTTAATTTTATAGCATAAACACTGAAAGATGAGTGAGCTAAAAGGTCAGGTCTGTGCCATAAACACATCCTGCAAATCTTGAATTTGAGCTTACAGCTGTAACCCCTGCCTGACAGAGTACCAACAGACAGAAGCAGGCCATGCTTATTTGGGACAGGTATGGAGCACACTTTCAGGATTTTCCTGCTGCCTTCTAATTGCCAAAGGCAGAGATTCCAGGGAAGAATGATAAGATCCAGAAATGACTTTCCAAAATGCCTGCAAAGAAGTTAAACAGGCAGAAGTAGTTTCTAGAAACAAAATGGATTGTGCTTTTAATATGTATGTTGAAAAATACAAAATCTTTTACGCACATTTTTCTTTACTCCCATTTTTCTTGCATTTTGATAGTGAGACTGAGCCTTTAACAGCTGTGCCAGCTCTCCAGCCCTTTTTCTTGTGTTTTTAATAACTATAGAAAATCTAAGGAAGTTGATATATTTTTTGTAGTCACAATTTCTAACTTTTGTTACAGTTTGAGGTTACCTTCCTTTATCTGATATGCTATTTTTAAATCAGTCTAGACTTATTCATCAATTACTAGCTTAATAAAAGCTGTTAACATTGCAATACTTTATAGCTCATATTTTCTCAACTGAATTATATATTTAAAGTGTTAAAATATATAATGTATTCTAATGTATACGGGTTAACACATAGATTTGTATCATATAGGCATTAAAATAATGTATTGAAGTAGAAGTAAACAAGAAAATCATGACACATACATTTCAGTGGTCAATCCATATTTATGGACTCTTCTGATATGCTCAGTATAACCTTAGCTAAGGGGAAGTAAAACAGAACAGGAAGATGTGTAATGTGCATGTATTTGATATAAACGTGTGTCTCTGTGTGTGTTTGTGTATCACTTTGTCTCTCTGTATGTGACTTTGTGTGTGTGTGTGTGTGCGCGCACACACACACAGTGAAAGTCGATGTATTTCTGATTCACTTGTACATTCCATTAATTTAGTATATGATAGTTTTCCTAGTTATTTTCTATTTCTGTGATCAAATACTGACCAAAACCAACTTGGGAAGGAAACAGTTTATTTGACTTACAACACAGCTCACCATCCAGGGAAGTCAAGGCAGGAACTCAGAGCAGGAGGTGAAGCACAGACCACTGCAAAATGCTGCTTACTGTCTTGCTCCCCTTGCCCAGAGTCAGCCTGCTTTCATATACAGCACAAGACCACCTGCCCTGGGATGGCACTGTTCACAATGATTAACACTGAAAAGATGGAAGTATTTACAATATCAATTTGAATATTACACCTTGAACACATATATTAAATTATCATAATATAGCCAGGTGTGGTGGCGCAGAATTTAATCCCAGCACTTGAAAGACAGAGAAAAGTGAATCTCTGTGAGATCCAGGCCAGCCTGGTCTATATAGTGAGTTCCAGGTCAGCTGGGGCTAAAGGGAGACCCTGTCTCAAAAAAGATCCCCCAAAATATCATAATTTGCCTCACGGAGATGTATAAATACCTCACCTATAAAGGCTGTTGATCTTAGAGATAATAGAAAATACTGCAGAACAAGAGATAGCAGCGGTTAGTGTAATTACATTTGGTGCAAAAAAAGCTAAACAGTCACTGAACACTGGCAGGTTTCCCTATTCACGACCCTTAGTGATATATTTTCATTGGCTCTTAAGAGGAAGTATATACATTTATGTTAAGGAATTATTTCTCTGTGAGTGAAGTTGTTATTTCCTGCAAATTCCCACCTTCTAAACATAATTGTGTCTGTGTGGCAGTGAAAACTTTATTTACGTGTGTATATGTGTATCTGTATGTGTGTATTCCATGTGTGTCAGGGGCTTAAGGAGGTCAGAAAAGGTTGTTGGATGCCCTGGAGCTGGAGCTACACATAGTGGTGAGTACTGAACTCTGGCACCTTGTAAGAACATAGGCACTCTCAACTGCTCAGCCATCTCTTCAGCCGCCAGAACATTGTTTCAAAATTCAAATTTCTAAATAAAGTTTAACAAGGTTGACTATTACCTTTACAAGACCAGCAAAATTCTCCCTTTGCCCTACCATTTTGTCCTTGATACTAAAGCTCTCTAATACATAAAATGCAGCTTTTCAATGGTAGCAAGAGGTTCTCTCCAGAATCTGAATAAATAAGCCATTTGTATAGGAATGTCTACGTCCAAGAAAGGTAACCAGAGATTCCTGAGTTTCTAGCATAGTTTTTCATCCCTGATAATAGCAGATAATAATGTCCCCTCAGAAGCAAAATCACCCCTGTTCTCTTCTGACATATGCCATGGGGTTAGTATTCTCACAGCTGTAGCCAAAGACCAGAAGATGTCAACCTTCAGTGCATACACAGGGTGTTGAGGCCAGCTGGCCTGTGAGAGGAAATGGGGAGAAGATGCATTCTAAGTCCTTAGAATCTGTTGGCATCCTGCAATTTTGAAGTAATAATGCATCTATTTGGCTTCTGATGAATTGTTTTGGAAACC